TAAGAAAGAAGAAGAAGAAGAATTTATTTTTTAAATAGAGCAATCCATATTTAAATTTTTTAGATAATAAAAAGGCATATATTAGCAAATAAATATTGTAGCGTAGAAATCAAGTCTTTGTATATCTGGAGATGTGAATGTATTTATTGATGACGTCACGGCGACTAGTCGACAATTATTACCAAATTAACTATCTAAAGCTTGAGAATATTGAACAAAAAAACAAAGAAATATTTTTAAGATGATTTTACAAATACAGAGTAATATATATTTTTATTTTGAAAATAGAGCAATCCATAAATAAATCTTTAATTAAAAAGACATATATTGGATCAAAATGTCATTTATTTTACCAATATTTCAGTTAGCTGAACGCCAACCTTTATAAAGGTTACACCTATAAGGATAATACCTTGATAAAGGTTGTCGTTCAGCCAACTGAAATATTGGTAAAATAAATGATATTTTGATCCAATATATGTATATTTAATTAAATATGTTTTTATAATCTGTTGAATATTTTCATTGAGAAAAGTATTAAATTATATTAAATTATTTTTTCGCCACAATATTTTATTCAATCCAATATATGTAATTTTTTATCATTAAAAGATTTTAATTTATATTCAGGAGATTCAAATCAAGTATAATTTTAGAATATCTATCTCTTCTTCCTTATCTCCACTCAATCATATCAGGGTATCAAGCTTGTAAAGCTTGTTGATGGTGTCTGCTGGGGATGTCTCTTCTTCCTTATCTCCACTCAATCATATCAGGGTATCAAGCTTGTAAAGCTTGTTGATGGTGTCTGCTGGGGATGTCTCTTCTTCCTTATCTCCACTCAATCATATCAGGGTATCAAGCTTGTAAAGCTTGTTGATGGTGTCTGCTGGGGATATCTCTTCTTCTTTCTTATCTCCACTCAATCATATTAGGGCATCAAGCTTGTAAAGCTTGTTGATGGTGTCTGCTGGGGATGTCTCTTCTTCTTCCTTATCTCCACTCAATCATATTAGGGCATCAAGCTTGTAAAGCTTGTTGATGGTGTCTGCTGGGGATGTCTCTTCTTCTTCCTTATCTCCACTCAATCATATCAGGGTATCAAGCTTGTAAAGCTTGTTGATGGTGTCTGCTGGGGATGTCTCTTCTTCTTTCTTATCTCCACTCAATCATATTAGGGCATCAAGCTTGTAAAGCTTGTTGATGGTGTCTGCTGGGGATGTCTCTTCTTCTTTCTTATCTCCACTCAATCATATTAGGGCATCAAGCTTGTTATCTTGTTGATGGTGTCTGCTGGGGATGTCTCTTCTTCTTCCTTATCTCCACTCAATCATATCAGGGTATCAAGCTTGTAAAGCTTGTTGATGGTGTCTGCTGGAGATGTCTCTTCTTCTTTCTTATCTCCACTCAATCATATTAGGGCATCAAGCTTGTAAAGCTTGTTGATGGTGTCTGCTGGGGATGTCTCTTCTTCTTCCTTATCTCCACTCAATCATATTAGGGCATCAAGCTTGTAAAGCTTGTTGATGGTGTCTGCTGGGGATGTCTCTTCTTCTTTCTTATCTCCACTCAATCATATTAGGGCATCAAGCTTGTAAAGCTTGTTGATGGTGTCTGCTGGGGATGTCTCTTCTTCTTTCTTATCTCCACTCAATCATATTAGGGCATCAAGCTTGTAAAGCTTGTTGATGGTGTCTGCTGGGGATGTCTCTTCTTCTTCCTTATCTCCACTCAATCATATCAGGGTATCAAGCTTGTAAAGCTTGTTGATGGTGTCTGCTGGGGATGTCTCTTCTTCTTTCTTATCTCCACTCAATCATATTAGGGCATCAAGCTTGTAAAGCTTGCTGATGGTGTCTGCTGGGGATGTCTCTTCTTCTTTCTTATCTCCACTCAATCATATTAGGGTATCAAGCTTGTAAAGCTTGCTGATGGTGTCTGCTGGGGATGTGTCTTCTTCTTTCTTATCTCCACTCAATCATATTAGGGCATCAAGCTTTTAAGGCTTGTTGATGGTGTCTGCTGGGGATGTGTCTTCTTCTTTCTTATCTCCACTCAATCATATCAGGGTATCAAGCTGTGATCTAGATGTGAATGTATTTATTGATGACGTCACGGCGACTAGTCGACAATTATTACCAAATTAACTATCTAAAGCTTGAGAATATTGAACAAAAAAACAAAGAAATATTTTTAAGATGATTTTACAAATACAGAGTAATATATATTTTTATTTTGAAAATAGAGCAATCCATAAATAAATCTTTAATTAAAAAGACATATATTGGATCAAAATGTCATTTATTTTACCAATATTTCAGTTAGCTGAACGCCAACCTTTATAAAGGTTACACCTATAAGGATAATACCTTGATAAAGGTTGTCGTTCAGCCAACTGAAATATTGGTAAAATAAATGATATTTTGATCCAATATATGTATATTTAATTAAATATGTTTTTATAATCTGTTGAATATTTTCATTGAGAAAAGTATTAAATTATATTAAATTATTTTTTCGCCACAATATTTTATTCAATCCAATATATGTAATTTTTTATCATTAAAAGATTTTAATTTATATTCAGGAGATTCAAATCAAGTATAATTTTAGAATATCTATCTCTTCTTCCTTATCTCCACTCAATCATATCAGGGTATCAAGCTTGTAAAGCTTGTTGATGGTGTCTGCTGGGTACGTGTCTTCTTCTTTCTTATCTCCACTCAATCATATCAGGGTATAAAGCTTGTAAAGCTTGTTGAAGATGCCAGCTGGGGATGTGTCTCTTCTTCTTTCTTATCTCCACTCAGTCATATTAGGGTATCAAGCTTGTAAAGCTTGTTGATGGTGTCTACTGGGGATGTGTCTTTTCTTCCTTTTTTATCTCCACTCAATCATATCAGGGTATCAAGCTTGTGAAGCTTGTTGATGGTGTCTGCTGGGGATGTGTCTTCTTCTTTTTTATCTCCACTCAATCATATTAGGGCATCAAGCTTGAAAGCTTGTTGATGGTGTCTGCTGGGGATGTGTCTTCTTCTTCTTTCTTATTTCCACTCAATCATATTAGGGCATCAAGCTTGTAAAACTTGTTAATGGTGTCTTCTGGGGATGTGTCTTCTTTCTTATCTCCACTCAATCATATTAGGGTATCAAGCTTGTGAAGCTTGAGAACTGGGTGGAGTAGAATGCTTCTGCCTTTGAATATTTAAAATCATTTGATGAATCTAAAACTTTTGGTCTTTAAATGATCGGTCCCTAAACAATCAAAGTTAAGTTATATATAGAAATACATTGTAAATAAACAATATCGTATTTAAAATACAATATAACGCGGCTGATGATTGTAAAACGAAAATTGCAATTATACCGCGAATGTTTCTTTTAAACAAAAATCGAAATTTATTTTAAAGAGAAATAACGACTATTTCTAACTTTAAGGATGAAGTATGAAAGGGTGAAAAATATGAAGAGTAATGGCGAACGGAAAAATAAAAGTGTCAAGGGGCGGGAATCGAACCCACGACCTTCCGCTTACCGGGCAGATGCCATGTCCACTAGGCTACCCTGGACATATCTTTCCGTTCGTAAATATTATATAAAGTAATTTAAAATACAATATAACGCGGCTGATGATTGTAAAACGAAAATTGCAATTATACCGCGAATGTTTCTTTTAAACAAAAATCGAAATTTATTTTAAAGAGAAATAACGACTATTTCTAACTTTAAGGATGAAGTATGAAAGGGTGAAAAATATGAAGAGTAATGGCGAACGGAAAAATAAATAAAAGTGTCCAGGGGCGGGAATCGAACCCACGACCTTCCGCTTACCGGGCAGATGCCATGTCCACTAGGCTACCCTGGACATATCTTTCCGTTCGTAAATATTATATAAAGTAATTTAAAATACAATATAACGCGGCTGATGATTGTAAAACGAAAATTGCAATTATACCGCGAATGTTTCATTTAAACAAAAATCGAAATTTATTTTAAAGAGAAATAACGACTATTTCTAACTTTAAGGATGAAGTATGAAAGGGTGAAAAATATGAAGAGTAATGGCGAACGGAAAAATAAAAGTGTCCAGGGGCGGGAATCGAACCCACGACCTTCCGCTTACCGGGCAGATGCCATGTCCACTAGGCTACCCTGGACATATCTTTCCGTTCGTAAATATTATATAAAGTAATTTAAAATACAATATAACGCGGCTGATGATGGTAAAACGAAAATTGCAATTATACCGCGAATGTTTCTTTTAAACAAAATTTTTTTAAAAATAAATTTCGATTTTTGTTTAAAAGAAACATTCGCGGTATAATTGCAATTTTCGTTTTACAATCATCAGCCGCGTTATATTGTATTTTAAATTACTTTATATAATATTTACGAACGGAAAGATATGTCCAGGGTAGCCTAGTGGACATGGCATCTGCCCGGTAAGCGGAAGGTCGTGGGTTCGATTCCCGCCCCTGGACACTTTTATTTATTTTTCCGTTCGCCATTACTCTTCATATTTTTCACCCTTTCATACTTCATCCTTAAAGTTAGAAATAGTCGTTATTTCTCTTTAAAATAAATTTCGATTTTTGTTTAAAAGAAACATTCGCGGTATAATTGCAATTTTCGTTTTACAATCATCAGCCGCGTTATATTGTATTTTAAATTACTTTATATAATATTTACGAACGGAAAGATATGTCCAGGGTAGCCTAGTGGACATGGCATCTGCCCGGTAAGCGGAAGGTCGTGGGTTCGATTCCCGCCCCTGGACACTTTTATTTATTTTTCCGTTCGCCATTACTCTTCATATTTTTCACCCTTTCATACTTCATCCTTAAAGTTAGAAATAGTCGTTATTTCTCTTTAAAATAAATTTCGATTTTTGTTTAAAAGAAACATTCGCGGTATAATTGCAATTTTCGTTTTACAATCATCAGCCGCGTTATATTGTATTTTAAATTACTTTATATAATATTTACGAACGGAAAGATATGTCCAGGGTAGCCTAGTGGACATGGCACCTGCCCGGTAAGCGGAAGGTCGTGGGTTCGATTCCCGCCCCTGGACACTTTTATTTTTCCGTTCGCCATTACTCTTCATATTTTTCACCCTTTCATACTTCATCCTTAAAGTTAGAAATAGTCGTTATTTCTCTTTAAAATAAATTTCGATTTTTGTTTAAAAGAAACATTCGCGGTATAATTGCAATTTTCGTTTTACAATCATCAGCCGCGCGTTATATTGTATTTTAAATTACTTTATATAATATTTACGAACGGAAAGATATGTCCAGGGTAGCCTAGTGGACATGGCATCTGCCCGGTAAGCGGAAGGTCGTGGGTTCGATTCCCGCCCCTGGACACTTTTATTTTTCCGTTCGCCATTACTCTTCATATTTTTCACCCTTTCAATACCTCATCCTTAAAGTTAGAAATAGTCGTTATTTCTCTTTAAAATAAATTTCAATTTTTGTTTAAAAGAAACATTCGCGGTATAATTGCAATTTTCGTTTTTAATATCGTATTTATTCAATTATTCCATTATGGTAGTACAAATATGGGATAGTCCTTCCTCTAAAAATCTTTTGATGATCAGAACCTGCCAACAGGTTTCGATCCTGATATTTTCATATGTATTATATGCTTTATTAAATGTAAAATAACTTTTAATTGTTTATGTAAAATTGCAAATATATATATTGCCACGTGGAGGGAAGACCAACTTCGGAATGAGACAGCAATTTATTTCAGGCAAGAACAAACTATGAATGATAAACAAAAGATAAGCAAAGAGGGAAGTGTACAGAGAGTAGCAAAATATAAACATAAATATGATACTCTGGTAATAAAATAATAAATACTTTGTTATAATATCAAGTCGAATGGTTGCTCTGTCCCTGTATAACTTTTACAAAGCAGTAAATAGGATCTCCTCCATTACATGATTGATCATTGTGAGGATATCGTTGTAAGTCGGCAATGAGAGAGGAGAATCTGACTGGTGTCTTAATAAAGACTTTGTGTGTGTATTCTTTATTCTAAATGGAGTATAACATAAACATTTGAATTCAAATGATTACAATGAAGTAAAATAATAAAGAGTTAAAGCGAACAATATGTAAATGAGAAACAGGCCGGTAGATATATAGATATAAGGTGTCAAATTAATTAAAAAGGCACAAATTAGACAAATCGACACGTTCTAAACGCAATCTTACATAAAGAACCAATCAAAATTTAAATTGAATAGAACACGATATAAATTTCATCTAAGATACCAACTCTCAATATGTATCGTCATTTCCGTATGCCAATAAAATGCTAATAAAAAAAGTAAAAATCCAATCTAGTAATTTTCCATTAAGTCTTAAGCCTAGTTAAAACAAAGTTTGGTATTTAACGGAGCAATTGAGTACGTATATCATGGCAAGCGTGAAAGACAGATTTCGACAAAATTGTCAATATCTTTTAGAAATTTCTTTTTAAATACTTTTAACCATCTTAATTTTTTTTATTGTTAAAAATATCTTAAGTAATTTGTGAGAGAGATTTTTGGCTGAAAGCTAATCACGGTTATCGACTTCTCGTCTGCCGAACATCCCCTAAAGAAGTTGGGTTGAAGAGGAGGGGAGGGGAGGGTGGGTAACATTTTGAGGAACAACTTTCCTTTTTTTGAATAATGCATAAGCAACTTGACACAAACCCATTCCAAAGAAATCAATATTAGATCGGGTCTCTACCCCAAACGTCTTCCTTATCAATTTGGGCCTTAAACTGTTTTTGTTATGGGTACAGAAGAACCCCTTTTTTTTTGCATTCGTCTGGTAAATATTTTTTGAAAGAAATTGAATTATAATAGGTTTCCTTTTACAATAGGTAACAAATGTTATTAATTTCTGTCTTCTTTGAAATGTATCCTTTTATTTTTTTTTATAGAATAAATAGAGTTTTTTGAGGCTTTTATATTTGGAATGTAAATTGAGTCTTGTAGTTTACTTTTTGTAAAAAGAGAAAATATTATTGCTTTTATTTGTAAGTTCTTTTGTGATAGGTTTAATAAATTTATGAAAAATATTGATATTGTTTGGAAGGAATTGAATAAATATTAATTCAAAGAAAAATACACAATATTGTATAATTTTATTAATAATTAAATTTTATTTGTTTATAAATATATAGTTCATGTGCAATTTTAAAATATAACATTTTACACTTTAATAACAACATTTTAATTTTTTTTATTATATATATATGTAGGATTTGATTAGGAAGAAGCTGGCAACACGGAACGAGGAAGACGCGCTTACGATGACAACTGAACAATAAGACTTTCTTACTTTCTTTCTTTTTTGACTTTGTTTTTAAATTGTAAAATCTAAAATAAATCCATTTATATCTACTCCGTTTCCTACAAAAATTTTGGGGGCTCGTCCGGGATCGAGAGTCAATTATTTGGATTTTGTTTTTTACAAACGACGATAAAAACAAACGACGTTAAGCCTAAAAGAACGACGCCAAGACAAAGAACGACGACCCTAAACAAAAGAAAGAAAAAAAAAAAGAAAGATATTCTCAGTTGAAGTAATAATAATATTTTTTAAAAAACGTAAGTGTAATTTTTAAGGATATTAAACAGAAGTATATTTTAAACGTTTATTTTAATTGATTAAAAGTATTATTTTCATAAAAAAATTTGAAGCCCACGGCGATTTGTTTACATCGCGATCTTTTGATTGAAGTTATTTTATCACCAAAGAAGACATTTTAGCTTTTAAAATGGCGAAAGTAAAGGCTGATTTAGATGATATTGAAGACAATTTGAAACAAGCAATTGATATTTTGAAAGAACAAGTGAATAAGTCACATCAAAGTGGAATGAAACATGTAGATGCACTGAGCAGAAATCCAGTTTCAATGATGATCCAAACTGACACACTTGTTGAAAAAATAAGAAATGCTCAAGGCAGAGATCCTTTGATCAAAGCTCTCTTAGTAATTGTGAAGGAAAAACAAGTATATGATGGTTATTTTGAAGAAAACAATTTACTTTGGAAGGAAGTTGAAGGGGATAGAACACTGGTCATACCCAAAGGAATGGAAATGGAAATTATAAAGTTAGCCCATGAAGAAGGACATTTTGGCGTCCAGAAAAATTTTGAAATGCTTAAAAAAGAATACTATATAACAGATTTGAAAAGCAAGATCAAAAAGTACATTCAGAACTGTATACCATGCATTTTATCAAATAGGAAACATGGAAAGCAAGAGGGAATGTTGCACCCAATCTCCAAAGGTGACACTCCCCTCGACACATATCATATTGATCATCTTGGACCTTTGGCATCTACTAGGAAGGACTACAACTATTTGTTAGTCATCACTGATGGTTTCACCAAGTTCACCTGGATATACCCAACCAAAACAACCAGAACAAGCGAGGTTATTCAGAAGTTGGAATCTCAACAACAAATCTTTGGTAATCCAAGACGAATAATTACTGACCAAGGAACAGCCTTCACTTCTAATGACTTTAAAGAATATTGCAAAGAAGAGTCTATAGAACATTGTTGCATCACAACAGGAGTTCCACGAGGAAATGGTCAAGTAGAAAGAATCAACCGTACAATTGTCTCCGTACTCACTAAACTGTCAATTGATAACCCACAAGAATGGCACAAGCATGTTAGGAAACTTCAGAAAGCTCTAAACAGTACGCATCAGAGAAGCATTAGAATGTCACCATTTGAACTTTTAGTCGGAGTAAAGATGAGAAAAGAAGAAGATCTACGTCTTTTGGAAATGATAGAAGAAGAACTAGCTTTAACATTTGATGAGGAAAGAGACCAAAAGAGAAAAGCAGCAAAGCAGGAAATATTGAAGATCCAAGAAGAAAATAGGAACACGTTCAATAAGAAAAGAAAAAAGGCATTTGTCTATAAGGAAGGAGACCTAGTTGTCATTCAGAAGACTCAGTTTGCTACAAAGTCTAAATTATACCCAAAGTACAGGGTGATCCAAAAGTCCCGCACAACTTTAAAAATTAATAACTCCCCGAATATTTGCGCTAGAGCAATGCGGTAAACACCATTGTATTCAGGATGCAATGGGATTTTTTATGGCAAATAATGAAAAATTCGAAATTGATTTTAGTTACAATTTGATTCGCCAGATGGCGCTCTACCAGAATCAGAGATTCAGCGGCCAAATTGTTTGATAAATTGAAAAATATAACTGATCGACACGTATTTTTACTTTTTGAATACCAGGAAAGAACCCTAATAATATCAAATAACAAATTAATAAAACACCACTTCGCCAAAAGTTAGAAGAAATGTTAACGATTTTCAAATACAATCAGAGATATGTAAAATAGGTATATTCAAATTAAAACATGTAGCAAAAAATATGTATATTTTATATGGGGTTTTGTGAAATAGATTGAATGTTTGAAAAACACTGCTGATATCAATACACGAATTTTTGAAATGTTAATATAGTACCAAAAATTATGATGGCACTATTAATAGGATTTCTTGCTATAAGAAATGTGTAGTTTCTTGACTGATTGGCGACCCTTGACTATTTAACTGGATATTTGTCATGATCCAACAAATGAAATATAGAGGGGAGTGACAAAATATATTTGTCGTACTTTATTCCAAATATCCTATGGGCTTGTCAAATGTTATCATTGTTTATTATACTGTACACAATTTTAAAAAATGTGTCCCCTCAAATAAAAATAATTTTTAAATCGACCTTTTGCGTTGAAAAACGTGGTAGTAAAATCATTATGTTTTTTTTTTTTCACAAAATTTCTAAAGTTATTGGTGTACAGAAAATATTCCATATGCTATTTCTTCTAATGAGCGAAAAGCGAAAACTAAACATAAGGGGGAAAATTGTGTGTACCAGTGTTATTCGAGAAGATATAACACTCTGGTTTGCACGACATAATATGTGAGCAAATGACGAACAAAATATTACTGTTCACAAAAAATAGAGTCATGATGTGAGGACAGCATTTATTATCCCCATATCCCAACACAAAGAGCAGCAAAATATTGG